TCTTGGGGGAGACCAGTGCGAACGTTGAATGGTTTCCACTTAATGCCATTAACTCTGACGCAGCACCTGCCATCAGAATACAGTGACTGGATGGCCCTTGGCAGCTGGCCATCTATCCTGTATGCACGAAGGCATGTTCACACACTCTTGCGTGGGATCCGGTCATATGCTTTTTCTAGGTTCACAAAACACATGTACACCGGATGTGCGTACTCCAGCGATATCTCAATAATTTGGTGCTGGGCAAATATATGGTCAGAGGTACTTCGACCGGGCCGGAAGCCACACTGCTCTTCTTGAATCTTGAGGTCAACTATTTCACGGCACCTCCTTTCAAGCGCCATTGAGTAGACTTTACCAGGGAGGCTCAGTAACGTTATGCCCCTATAATTAGGGCATTCCTTGTGGTACGGCGATAACATAGTGTAAAGTGTAAACAGAGTTCAAAATTCATTTCTTACTTTACACCGATACTGCGGTACTGTACGACAGATGAAAATCTTACACCTGATAGTACCGCAGTATTGCACCGTCCCGTTGTTTCTAATAACCTGTGTTTATAATAACCGTCCCTACGTTTCTAATATAGTATACTAGAGTAAATTATATCATTAAGTAAATTATACCTACTAACGTGTATTATACTTGTATTGGTTATGTCACTGGCCGTATTTGTGACAATTCGTCAGTGTAGTTGAAGGTAGTGACGGTTATGCAGGATGGCGTATATCGATATGCACGGAGAGGTCTTGCAGACGTCTGACTATATGGCTGCGCTAAAAGGCAGTGAAGCGCAACTATTCATTTAGGTTTTGAGAACTAGTTTGAAGCGTCCTTCCTTGTTCCCATTTTCTCCAGATCGTCAAACGTGCACATTCACAACATTAGTTTTATATACAATGAACATTTAAATATTTCAGTAATCCTGTTTACCACGAGATTAACTAGAAGACGAGGTTCCCTGCCTTACAGTTCTGTGTCCCCAGACGTACTTGGTTGAGAATTATCTCTTCTTTTAAGATTAGTTAGTAGAGTAGCCATTTGCATGTTTAGAATGGGGAATGAGTGAATAATTAACTGAATCATGAATGCCAGAAGTGTACTGACAGAAACGGCAAAATTATCAACATGAAAACGTTTCATCCAGATAATATCAATTTCTCCTAAAAATTAATGCATCCTCGTCCATGATCACGTGTATTACGGTTCATATATTTTTCAAGGAACAATGCATTGTATATGCATTTTAGCTGTACAGTTATACGATTTATTTTAGCATTTTTACCTAAGGAGGAATACCGCTGAGTCTGGGAGGGATGTCGATGGCGATTTAACCATAGTTAGCTTGAGTGATTCGGATTCGAACATGGAGTTGTGGTCAGCTTCATAGCATGAGAGCTGCTTGAAGATAGCTACAAACCTCTCAGAAAGAACAAAAATATGAAAATATATGCAAACGAAACTGAAGTTTGATTGGTTGAATATGTTTTCTAAGGACATGTTCATGTAGAAAGGACATTTTCTCTAGCAGACCTGTTGAATGACGCCCGCTGTGTTTTGGCCTCTACATGAAAAGCTCATTAACTTCGGCAAGTATCTTATGCGCAACCATTTTATCTAACAGATCCATCGCTATTTTCTTAATTATGTCCAGAAGCGAGTAGAGTCATTCCGCACATGTTTTTGCCATTCGGCCCTCATCAGGCATCGAAGCTGACGCTGCTGTGAATACAGATCAACTGTCGTTATTTGTCCTTCGTTGGAACAATTGTCTTCACGCTGTACAACAACAGTAACCTGACAGAGGTAATGTATAGGCGGATTTTCGCGGGAAGAGTAATTCCTTTCTCAGCACAAACATTGGACTGGTTTCCAGAGGCACACGAGGCGAGGGCGATCCTCATATTTAACTCCGATTGGACGGTGCATCGCTGGAAACGATAAAGCCGAGATTGCCAAACGAAGTCATTTAACTGCTATTCAAATAGGTAACGAATAGATACCTCGTTCCATACCTATATAGTTAATATTATACATTACGTTTAGATTCAAGTAACATGTTTTTGCACTTTCTGCGCTGCGGCATAAACTAAGGGTATTTTGTGGAGCAGTATTATTGAGAGCGGTTATTGAAACCTTATTTTAACTACCGCTAATAAGCTGTATTCAACACTTTCCTCTTTCAGTCAGGCCGGTATTTCCAAAGAATTACGTAAAATTCCGTCATAATGGGCCTCACTATTAAGCGAATTCAGATATACGGCAAAATGATTCTATTTATTCTATGTTCTTTGTTAATAACTTTGTTTAAAATTTAACTCGATTTATTTTCTGAACAGTTTGGTTCGAATTTATAATATTTATTTTCTTCGAAATCAACTTTAAATTTCAAATTTTACTGCGATTTATTTTCTACCTAAATAGCTAGTTTAAATTTACTGCATGGGCTGCTGTCAGTGGTGGCATAAGCGAACGGATGATTGCGTCATGATAACCCCGGAGTATTCCTTGTGTAATTACGTGAGAATTCCCTACATTGTCTTATGTCTGATGTGGGTGAAAAAACTTTTATTGCTGCTGCCTAAAGAATAGAGGTAAATTACCTGTGGCACTCGATTGGTGCCGATGAGGAACCTCCCGTCGCTGTTTATAATAAAAATGACGAAGAAATTGTAAGCGAAGTTCGGAGCCACGAAAGAGTGAAGGAGGGCCATTTATCGGATTCGGATAATGACAGCGAGAACGAGGAGACTGATGTGCTTCAGACCCCCAAAAATGTAAAGGTTGCTACCTCAGTGCAATGGGTAGCATTAGTGAGGTGATGATTTCAGCGTTAAGACAAAGTCACTGTGATCATCTTCATCTATCGCATTTACAAACTATTAAAATGTATGTGACGAAAAACGCCATGAGCTTCGCGTCAAAAGATAATGTTGGGCAGTTTTTAAATAATGATGATTCAGTATGGTATGAATTTTTTATTGTAATGTTATTTTTATCGTACTTTGCAATTAAACCTGTAAAAACATATGCGTTTGTATTTCACGTATAAAAGTTTTACGATACACCGATAACATTTTCCGACATCGCGCGTTATAACGGGGCTTTACTCTACGTAACAAGCTTTCAATGTGTTTGGTTTTATGAAATGCATTGCTCATAGATAAAAAAATTTTTTAAATCTTGGAACCTTTATTCAGCGGTTTCTGTGCGCTCACTGAGCTGAATGGTCGTCACAGTTGACCTCCTTGATTTATTGCTTTGTCATATAAATCGATTCCGATCCATGCTCTTTGTCGCTTTACTGCATGCCCAGTATTGACACCGTAGCCTCGGAAACCTGCCAGTGCGACAGAGAGGCGATTCTTTCAGCTTCACCCTCGCCATTTGTCATTGAGGGTAGTAATTCAGCCAATAGAGCGTCGACTCATTCTCAGAAATCTGAGTTCTAATTTCGGACACAGCTTTTCCTCCTTCCGAGAAAGAAACATTAGTTTGCAAAAGAGGAAAGAAGGTACACGTTGTAGTGGCCTCTCACCAGTAGAAAGATGTCGGCACTCCCGGCTATTGGCATCCAAATAGTGATCGATCCCATGCTATAAGTAGCATCGGGTTTTGGAGGAGGAATGCGCCGTTTGACGGACTTCGGCGTACAAACGAACTTTGGTGTTTATGGGGGTAACAAATGAGAACTGCCACCTCTTGAAACATCGTTCGTAATAAGTGAGGCGTAGGTCTAGAGAATAAAATGATGCCAGCCGTATTTGGCGGTACTGTAGGTAACCTGCGTAAATCCCCTCAGCGACTAGACGAGAGGGGGCGATGCGACACGAGAAATCTTTGACAAGAGCTGTGCTTTATTTGACATGCTGCGGAGTGCGATCATAGTTTGTTATGTGCATGTATGTATGCCGTTGGCTGTACTCTGTTGCCTGACTTTCAAAGCTAGCCGATTCGATCCCGATCCCATCCAATTCTATCTCATCGTCGTCCGTCATCTAACGACGCGCCGGCGCTGCTTCGCTTTCAGTGTTGCACCGTAAACATAGTTTTGACGGCTACCGGGGCATTGCACCACTTGTCAAACGCTGCCGCCGCCGCCGCCGCCGCTGCTGCTGTCGCTGCTAAGAAGAAAGTTTCACGACTTCCCCCACAAAGTGCCGAAGGGCAAGCACGATGAGTGTGGCATGCATTGGAAAGTGCTGGCGAGGCGAGGCGAGGCGAGGCAAGGCGAGTTGAGGTGAGGTGAGGGCCGCGTCGTATAGATATTACTAGCAGCTTTCGCCGCAGTTGCAGCTGCCACCGTCGCCCGGCCGGCCGTCTGTCCGTCCGTCCGTCGGTTCGTCTTTCCAGCCATCACTAGAACCAC